CAAGAACAGTGCCATGTGGCACAGAATAGATGTTCAAAAGACATTGAATGAATGAATGAATGAATGAATGAATGAATGAATGAAGTAGTATAATTGAAGTTATGAGTAAGAAATTAATCAATGGAAATAGAAACAAAAAAAAAAGTGCTAAGCATTGAGCTTTGTAAAATACCTAAAGTAAAGCCAGCAGAAATGCCAGCAGTATAGAATAAGAAAGTCCAGGAGGTAGCAGGAAAACTGGGGGTGTGTTCTTGGGAAGGGGGAGGGTAGAGATACTGTAGAAGTCTGCGAAAAGGACATTTGATTTATCAAGAAGATAACTGGCAACCTCAAAAATGCTGTTTAGGTATAGTTATAGAAGTAGAAGTCAACTGTATGGAATTAGACAGGAAACTGATGGCAACAAAATAAAGGCAATACACTAGTCTTATGAATTTATCAGTGAAACAAGAGAAACAGTATTATAGCTATAGAGGGCTCAACAGAAAGAAGTCAAAATTTTTTTCAAGTTCGATAGATCTACACCCTTGAGGAAGAGGATCCAGAGTTTTTCCCTCTAGTGGTGGATGTCGTGTTGTGAGCCTTTTGTAGAAATGGACACAGATTATGGCAAATATAATTATTGTGAAGATAGACATCTACAAAGACAGTAAGTGCTTAAAAATCTCAATATGGCCAATAAATGAAAGCAAAATTTCTAATTATATATTTCCATTTCCATATTTCTGGAAAAATAGGTTGAGATGAAAGATACCTGGAGTATTTTTGGTCTAGAAGATTCACTCTATTGGAGTTATATTAGAAAGAAGTGGTTGTTTCTGTCACCACCACAAAGAATGCACGAACACAAACAAATCTTTGTTATCTGCTGTTCCCTATAATGCCTTTAGGAACTAATCGTTCAGCCTTTAACAACAGCCACTGCCTCTGTTACTGCTGTTTCAGTAAAACATTGAAGCACGTATGTGAGCTTATTGCGTTGCCTGAGGAGCCCACATTTCCCAGCCCTAATGTAACAAAAGGGCACAGCTCACACAAAAAACACATACTGCTTTAGGCCTGGACAGTTTTGCTCAGCATTTAGAGCAGCAGCTCTTAGACCAATGAGTCACAGGTTCGATTCCACTCAGGGGCATATACCTCGGTTTCGGTTGATGAGTCTCTGTCACATCGATGTTTCTCTCTCACTTTCTCTCTCCCTCCCTCCCACTCTATCTGAAGATAAATAGAAGAACATTCTTGGGTGAGGAATATATATATATATATATATATAGTTTTCTTGAAATACTTATGTCTCTCTTTCCTTGCATTCACCTGTTTTAACTTCGTTCAAACACAGACTGTGTCACAAAGACTGCTTAAGAAATTACTCGGAATTATGCTGTGTGTGTGTGTGTGTGTCATTTTTTTTTTTAAACAGATTTCACATCATATCTTCACTTATTAAAATTCACCATGCTGACAACAAAACTACAACTAAACTACAGAAAAACCATCATTCAGAACTGCCTGAAATGGAGCTGAATGGAAGTCCTACAACTGTGAAATTAATGAAGAAGCCACATCGAGACTGGTAAGAAGGATGGAGGTGCAGACAGGTTGATCCCACACCTACATGTGGCAGATAAAAATGAGGAGAGAGACCTTGGCTGTGAAGGTCCTCCATGAGGTGCGAGGTATCCCCTTCCCACACCAGGCACCCAGCTCAGGGTTCCAGTGCCAGGAAGAGAAGTCCTCATAACGCCTGGCTGTAAAAACCAGCAGGAATTGAGGCTGAGGGAGGCTGAGGCTTCTAGAGTCCCAGGCAGTTCCTCTTAAAGGGCCCGTGCATGGACGTACTTGAACTCGCTCCTTCTGGGCTCCAGCGTGGGGAAGCCAGCTTGAAAGGCACCAGAGACATATGGGGAAGAACTGAGTTGTGTGGCATTGGGGCAAGAGCTGGAGGGGCAGCTTTCTCCTGGACAGACATGCTGGTGGAGGCCATTGTTCCTTTGGTGAGCCCTTCCACAATAGGGCAGGCAGACAGCAGTCATATCTGGGACTCCAGCAAACTGGCTCACACTGATTTCCCCACCCTGGTGATTCTCTGAGGCCCTGTTCAACACAAATTTCAGGCCTACCTCAGTTGTTTCCAGTGGCTTTACCATAGGGTTGGCCTGTCTTGGATCCTGCTTCAGATTTTCCTAGATTCTCTCAAGCTAGCAGCATCTGACCTCAGCAAGCCCCATACCTCTCATTAAGTGGCCCCAGGCCTGGCACTAGAAGCAGCCAGCCTTGGTTCACAACTTGGCTTTGCCTGGGCACCTCCAGGCCCAGCACAAGAAGCAGCCATTGGCAGATTGCTTTGTAGCTTATGCCAGGTGGCCCTGGGTAGGACACAGGCAGTGGCTAACCTTGCCCCAGAGCCAGCGCAACCAGTGGACAGCTTCAGACCACATCGAAGCACCACCACCCATCTACCTCCACAAGCGACACACTCAAGGAGTGGGCTCAGTGGGTACCAGAGCCCTGCTGAAGTAAGTCTTTCTCTTTGTAGTGGGCTCCTACACAGCTGATCCTCCAAGGTATTCAGAGGCCAATGGTGAGTGGGTACAGCCAGTCCTTGCAGCTGATCAGCCTGAGTAAATTCCTCCCATTGATGTGCCAACAGCAATTAAGACTCATTTACAAAAGAAGCGTGGACAGTCCATACAAGGTGTGCACCTCAAGCCTAGCTGGGGTGATCAGGGAGGCTGTGCCGCTGGACCCTACAGGACATCTACTACAATAGGCCACCCTATGAAGCCTAGGAGACCTAGCAACTCTACCTAATACATAGAAACAAATACAGGGAAGCAACCAAAATGAGACAAAGAAACATGTCCCAAATGAAAGAACAGAACAAAACTCCAGGAAAAGAATTAAACAAAATGGAGATAAGCAATCAATCAGATAAGAGTTCAAAACATTGGATGCTCAAGGAACTTAGTAAGAACTTCAAGGAAGTTAATGAAAATTTCAAGGACTTTAGTGAGAATATCAACAACATTAAAAAGGACAAGTCAGAAATGAAGGATGCTCTAACTGAAATAAAGAATAATTTACAGGGAATCAATAGTAGAGTAGGTGAAGCCAAGAAGCAAACCATCGATTTGGGATATAAAGAAGCTAAAAACACCCAATGAGAACAGCAAAAAGAAAAAAGAATCCAAAAAATGAGGATAGTGTAAGAAGCCTCTGGGACAGCTTCAAGTGTAATAATATTTGCTACATGGGGGTGCCAGAAGGAGAAGAGAGAGATCAAGAAATTAAGAACCTATTTGAAAAAATAATGACAGAAAACTTCCCTAACTTGGTGAAGGAAACAGACATACAAGTCCAGGAAGCACAGACAGTCCCAAACAAGATGAGCCCAAAGAGATCCACACCAAGACACATCATAATCAAAATGCAAAAATTTAAATACAAAGAGAGAATCTTAAAAGCAGCAAGAGAAAAGCAGTTAGTTACCTACAAGGGCTTTCTCATAAGACTGTCAGTCTAAAATTTCTCAAAAGAAATTTTACAGGCAAGAAGGGAGCGGCAAGAGATATTCAAAGTGATGAAAAGCAATGACCTACAACCAAGATTACTCTATCCTGCAAAGCTATCATTTAGAATCAATGGCCATATAGTCTCCCAGACAAAAAAAAGCTAAAGGAGTTCATCACCACCAAACCAGTATTACATGAAATGTTGAAGGGTCTTCTTGAAGAAGATAAAAAACATGAACAATAAAATGGCAATAAATACATATCTATCAGCACTTGAATCTACAAACCAAATGGATAAGTAGAACAGAAACAGACTCATAGATACAGAGAACTTTTTGTTGGTTGCCAGATGGGCGGGTTTTGAGGGGATGGGTGAAAAAGGTGAAGGGATTAATTAAGTACTAATTGGTTGTTAGACTGAGGAACCTAAAAGGAAGTGGGAACAGGGAGGGAAGCAATAAACCAAAGAACATATATATGCATATATGCATAACCAATGGACACAGACAATAGTGTGGGGAAGGCAAGAGGGGCGTGGGAGCGGGAAGGAGGGGGGTCAATGGGGTCAAAAAGGGGGGACATCTGTAATACATTTAACAATAAAGATAAGTTTAAAAAATAAACTGAATTGCCCTGGCCAGTTTGGCTCAGCGGTTAGAGCGCTGGCCTGCGGTCTGGAGAGACCCGGGTTTGGTTCCCGCTAAGGGCATGTACCTCGGTTGCAGTTTGTCCCTGGCCCTGGTTGGGTCGTGTGGGTGGCAGCCACTCAATGTGTCCCTTCACGTCGATGTTTCTCTCTCTCTCTCTTTCTCTCTCTCTCTCTCTCCCTCCCTCCCACTCTATTGAACAAAATATCAAAAAATGTCCTCGGGTGAGGATAAATAAATAAATAAATAAAATAAAATGAATTGACAGAGATCCAGGGAAAGAAGAAAAAAATAAAAAATAAATTCGCCACGTTGAATCTTATATATAAGGGTTATATTCTGTCTCACTATTTTATACTTTTTTGCGTCCTCCACTCGGCACTCTGTGTCCGGGCATCATGTTTTGCACACAGTGGGCACCTAGGGTTGATCCTGTAATCCAACATGTGCATGCTGCCTTAAAGCAAGTCACAAAGTCCTTACAGAGCTTCTAGTTGGGGTTCAGTCCCTTAAAGTTGTCAAGTTAAAGAACTGAGAGTGTCTTGACAGCAAGGACAGTCTTTTTCAGCAGGGTATCTCCAGCACCTGATTGAGTCCTGACACACAGTAGTCACGCAGTAACGCTGAATGAATGGAAACCGGCTGGGGCCGGCACTACATCCAACCTGGTCGGCAACCTTTGCCCCCGCGCCATCCCGGCCTCGGAGACCAGAGGGCTGGGTATGCAAGATGACAGGGACCTGTTGATGCTAATGACACGGATACGCAATTCTGTGCTCCAATACCCATATGTTTCTCCAAACAAAAAGGGGGTCTGAGTCGTCTCTGCTCTTGTTCTCAGGGACCAAGTACAAACGTGCAGCGGTGCCGCGGACCCGCGGCGCGCCCGGCGCAGCGAGCGCGACCTTCCCTCGGGCCGAGCGGGCCGAGCTCGCGGGCGCCCGGCGGCTGCACCGCGGCGAGCCTGAAGGGGTCGCTGTTCCCGCGGTCTCCTCCCTTCTGGCTCCGCCTCGCGGCGTCGCAGGCTTCCTCGGCGGGGGAGCCTGACCCAGAGGCCAGAACGCCACCCCGCTTGCTTCCTGCTCGCCCACCGCGGCCGACGCCCACGCTGGCCAGCGCTCTCCGGAAGGACGGGCCGGCGCCTCGGCCGCGGCCGCCCGCACGCGTGGCCCGCTGGGAGGCGCTCGTTCCCGCCTCGCCCCACCCTCTCCCCGCCTGGGCGGAAACGACAGCTGCGGCAGCGGGGCTGGCGCCGCCTCCCTCCACCTACCACGTCTGCCCCCGCCACTCCCGGCCGGCGCCCCAGCCCGCCGCGGCGCCTCCGCCCACCCGCTCGGTCGGCCGGCAGCTCCGCCCGGCTGCCTCCCAGGATGAACATTATGGACTTCAACGTGAAGAAGTTGGCGGCCGACGCGGGCACTTTCCTCAGCCGTGCCGTGCAGGTACTGCGCTGGCGGAAGGGGTGGCGGGGTCCCGAGGGCCACGGAGGAGCGGCTGGAGCGCCCCGCCCCGGCCTCCCGACCGCTCGGCGGGCCTGCGGCGGCCGGAGGCCCGGGCGATGGCGCGGCCTGGCGCCCCTGCGGGCCTGGCAGCCGCCTCCCGTCCCCTCCAGCCCACCGCCGCTCCCCGGGAGGTGAGGCGGGGTGGCGACGGGGCCCGGGGCTTCCTCGCCCCGGAGGACACCTGGAGTCCGGCCACGAGCCGAGGCGCAGACAGCACCGCCCGCCTTTCTGACCCACGACGGGGTGACCTCCCTCCCGGGCGGGCGGAGGCCTGGCGAGCCCCGCGGGGTAACACGGAGCCAGACGATTCTTGCACCACCCCCACCCTTTCCTCCCCTCCCCTCTCCTCTCCTCTCCCGCACCCTCCTCGCCAAGTCTCAGAAGGAAGTTTCCTTTTCCTGCCCTTCAACCCAGAGAGCTGCCAACACGGTTCCTGGACTGGGCAGTCCGCCGGGGAAATGGAGGTCGTCCGGGCTGTGCTGAGGCCGCAGGAAGCCTGGGGTTTGGGGGTTCCCGCACATTCTCAAAATGGGAAGCACCGGCTGTGGGCAGGAGAGCGCGGGGAGAGATTCCTGTTGTGCCTGTAGTCACAGAGGTTGCTTCACATACCCTTGAAGGGGAAAGGAAATCATCTCCTGGTCCTTACTCCCCAGTCAAGCAAACGTCAGAGCTGGGAGACCTGGACGGTGTTCGGCAGTCATCACCCACAGGACGGCAGCTCGGTTAAATCTGTGAACAGATGTAAATTTCACAGCACGGGTTATAAACAGTCTGGTGTTTAAGTTAATGACATAGTCACAGTAATGACAACATGCTCTTTTGTAAAGAGAAAACAAAAATAGCTTTCTAATATGCATACCAAGTTGATCCTGAAATGTAAAACAGTTGTATTGCTTTACTACTTTACCCCAATTTTTTTTAGCGTAGTCGATCTTACATTGCACCGTTCTTAGCAAAAGAATAGTAGGACTAGCCCTGGCCGGTGGCTCAGTGGTCAGAGCAGCAGCCTGGCCGGTGGACCCTAGGGTTGGATTCCGGTCAAGGGCCCCAAGGGCATGTACCCGGTGGAGGTAGGGTGGGAGGCATCCAGTCGGATCTGTCCCTCTCAAGTCAGTGTTTCTCTCTCCCTCCCACTCTATCTGAAGATAAATAGAAAAATATCCTCCAGTGAGGATTAAAAAAAAAGGTAGAACTAGAACAAGGTAATAGCTGCCTTATATTGTGAATAAACTATGTCAAACATTTCGCTGGACATTTGACAGATTATCTCCAGTCCTTTCTGTCTTTGCCAGACAGATGTTATTAGCCCCCTTTATATATGAGGCAGCAGCCTCAAAGAGGTGAGTAACTTGCTTAACTTGCATAGCTAGTAAATAGCAAGTGCTGTCTGACCTACTACTTATTGCAAGCTCTCTTCCTGGATAAGCATTGCAGCTTTAGGATATATAGAATAATAGAATGTTACAGCCTAGAGAGGGCTTGAACATCACCTTGTACAATCCGAGCATTTCAATAACACTTAGGCAAGTAACATCTAAGAGATGGGAAATTCCTTATAGATCTTGATTTCAAAGTTCCACAATCAGCCTGGTGAGTAATAAGCTAGCTGCCTTAACCCTCTTCCTTTCCTCCACTAAAATATGACATATATTGTAAAGACATTGAACCTTATAGTTAAAATATTTTAAGTTTAAATTAGCCTAGTTCTAATAGTTCAAAGACAAGGTGCAAAAGAAGGAATGTGAGGGTCTAAAATTAAGTTTGATTTGTGAGATTTACTGTTGACTGCAAAAGAGACAGAGACTTTGGTATGGATTCAGTGCTGATTCCCTATCTAGATGCTGAATGTAGATATTATACTATATAATGCCACTGTTTTAAATACAGTTAGATATATTTTCAGGTACATAATCCATACTGCTTAAATATAGGACACATACTAGAATTTGATTTGAATATTATCAGTAGAATCAATTTTTAAAGTTTGTCAAGGCTCTCAAAAGATGTACTACTTTCCAAATGAATTTTAATTACCGATTGTTTCATATTCTTTAGGAAAGAGTTTTTAAATTCTGTTCCACTCAGTTAGCTATCAAATAATTTTCAGTCTTAAATACTTAACTGCCTACTCCATGACTGCCTATAATTACTATTTTGAACACTGGTGATATAGTAATGAATAAAATCAAGAAAACGTCTGCCCTCCTCTAGCAAACTAGTAAATATATAAATATACCACCCCCACCCCCCACCTTCACCGTACTGTTGTCTTTGTCCATTGGTGATAGAGCAAAAGGCCAGCAGGGATAACTTAATGGCGGAAGTGGTGGTGGTTTCCATGTTGTATAGACATGATGGTTAGGGCAAGCCTTTCTAATAGGATCAAATTCTAAGGCCTCAAGAAAGTGACAGTTTCCATTGTTTTTGAAGAGAAAACATTTCAGTCATCAGGAACAAGTGTAAAGACTGAGGTTGCAAGGGATACTAGGGAGACCAGTTAGGGAGCTGTGGACATAGGCAAAAAGTAAAAGGTGATGTGACATAAGAGTAATAGCAGGGGAGGTTCAGAATCTATCCAGTATTGCTTGTTAGATTGGCTTTGAGCTATGTCAGAAAAATGAGTCAAGGATGACTCCAATGTTTTGGCTTGAGCCATTTACTAAGAAAGGAAATATTTCAGGAGGAGCAGGCTCCTTTATTGTATCTTTATATTAAGTGTATCTGTTAGAGATACATTCTGAAATATTTATGTCTAAGCTATGTCATGTCTGAGAATTGCTTTAAAATATTTCAGAAGAAAAAGGTGGGGGTAGATAAAACAACATTGGCAGAATGGTGATAGTTTGAAGCTGGGTTATAAGTTCATGAGGTGTCATTATACGATTATGCTTCTGTATATGTTTGACATTTTTTACAGTACTTTTTAAAAATAAAATATATAAGAAAAAAAAGATAGTTCCAAAATGTAATGTAAAATTTAGAATGCTGTCTGACAATTTTCAACACAACACTGCTTTTTTATTTCAGTATTTAGGAACTGAGTTCCTACTCTAAATTGAGTTGACATCAGTATAGTGCTAACGTGCCAAATTTCATGCTAAGAATAGAGTAAGAGCTGTCTGCCATTTTATTCATTATAAATAATAAGAACAATAGGAATGGAATTCAGAGTTCCCCTTTTTACCTTAAAGAATAGGCCAGTCTCTGGTTGGCCAACTGCCATACATTTTTTTCATTTCCTTTTAAAAATTTTTTAATTAAAAATTGAAAATGTCTCCCGTTTTATAAAAAGTAAAATCAAACTATTAAAGCATATACATGGATCTCATCACTCTGTTCTCACCCTTCTAAAATTTGTTTATGTGCCTTGGTACTTTAAAAAGTATGTTAAGGTAAAATGCATAAATGGATAGGAGTATTCATTCCTTAACAGTCCATTTGGGTGGTTTTGTTCTTAACTCCCTCAAAACAATCAAATACAAGATACTTATCTTCGATCAATTGTTACTTTATTAGTGTCTTAAATACCATTTGTTCATGGAATTTTTCTTTTCAGTCCAAACTCCTTTGTTGAGTATTAAATACTCCCTTCCAGCCTTGTCTTTTTCTCATTCATATATAAACACCATTCCTATCAAATGATTTTTTAATTTCAAAAATATCTTGTACTTCTATAACTCTAGGCTTTTGTTCCTAAGTTAAACTCATCTTGAATGCTCTCTGCTGCCTCTCTGTGTAGTGTTTCTTGCTCTTGAGATATAACTTCAAGTCCATCTCAGACCATAGATGCTTGGTGTGAAATACTGTGTCATTTATCACTTACATCTGTGGCAGTTTTCTCCTAATGAACAATAGTGTAAGGTCCCTTGGAGCTCTAAAATTCTTTTATTCTGTGACTTTTACATCTTTAATAAGAGTGTCCTGCTCTGGCCAGCATTGCTTAGTGGTTAAAGCGTCACCCGGATACCAGGGTGCATGAGGGAGGCAACCAGTCAATGTGTGTGTGTGTGGGGGGGGGGGGGGAGACACACACACACACACTCTTTCTTTAAAAATCAATGAAAAAAATATACTCAGGTGAAGATTAACACACAAAAAAAATTTGTCCTAAAGAATCAGTTGTGTTTCTCATTTCCTTCACAAAACATCCAACATGGTTTTTAATTTTTTGTATTATTTTCTCCAAGCAAGGTAGTAACTAACCATAAGTAAAGTTTATTCTTTGAATCATTTAACATGTTAAATAACTTTGTTGTTTTTATTATTTTTTAACAGTATATCTGCTGACCTTGAAGTTGATTGATGCAAGTCTAAAATATTAAACTGTTTAATTCAACTTATATTTACTGAATACCTCCTAGAGTGCTTGACTTTGAAGAATTCAAAGATGAATGAGACCTAGTTGCTTCCCTCAAGGACTTCATAGTCTAGTCCTAATTTGTCATAATTAGATATTTTACTTGTTTTAGTAAATATCCACTTTGTGAATTACTTCTCTTGGCTTAATATTTCAAGTGGGCACATTTTAAATTCAGAATTGATATTGAAGCAAAATATTGCTCACCATCTTTAAAATCAGAGAATATACTTTCAAAAAAAATTCTCTAAATTACTTAGAGAGGGGACTTATTTTAATATTCTAAAATTTCCTTTGAACTGACTGCTGAAGTTACACTGTGAAATTCATGACTGCCAGGTATTATTTTCTGAGGGAAGAAAATGTGTATAAAATTTAGTTGCAAGCTTGGCCTTAATGCTTAACTTAGCAAGCATTAATGGTGTGCCTAAGCTTGGGATGTACAGATGAATGAGATGCTGCCCTCAACCAGCTCCTGTCAGGTGCTATTTGAATGGAATTCCAACTTGGCCAAATACTTTCTCTCAAGCCCTTCTGAAATTCATTTCTTTTATACAATTTAAACTGCAAATAACTTCACCGT